TGAAAGTTAAACGCGCAAACTAAAGTGCTGTCTCAAAAAAAAAAAAAAAAATATGGGCGGCACGGTTACTTGTGTTGTTTTCTGGGGCAGGAATGAGTCAGACCTGGAAGGGAACAATGTTAAACCTAGAAATAAAAAAGAAATACGATGAATAATGAAGACCTGGAAATAAAAGAGAAAAGTTGAGGGTCCAGTTCCGGCCACAAAAACAGTACCACTGTTAACAATAAAATCTAGAACCTTCAAAAAATAAAAAAATAAAAAAATGTTTTTCGTTTCTTTTTTTTATCGTGGTTGCTATTCGTCTGTTAGCATTTTAATCGACGCTAGAGTACCGGGGCTTTCATTTATCCCTTGTTTAATAGTGTTGAATCGGTAAATTAGGTAGGATTCATGCTGTTCACGTTCGCGATTTGATTTAAATCCAGATTCTAGGAGCGTCACCGATAATTTATCAAACGAGTGTCTCGGGAGAGCGAGATGTTTGGATATGGGCAGTGTCGGAAGATTTATGGCGTGAGATTTGTGGTTATTAAAGCGCAGTCTAAATGCCGTTCTAGTCTGCCCTATGTATTGCATTTTGCATACCGTACACTTGAATAAATACACGACATTCGACGAGGTACATGTTAAGTTCCCTTTAATTTTGATCGAGAACTGCGAGTGCGTGCTGCTGGCCGTGCTTGTGTGCTGCATCCGTCTACAGATCAGACATCCTGGGTGCATGCAATGCCTACATTCGTTCGGTGGTGGCGATGAATTTATCTGAGAGTTTACTAGTGCGTCTTTGAGGTTACGCGATCGTCTGTGCACTACCCCAGGGGCGAATGGAAACGCGCGTTTAAGGCGCTCGCTTTGTTCGAGAATGTTATAATGTCGTCTTAAGATGTCATTTACATTAGGATGGTTCATGCTATAACTTAGACATAGATTTGTGCGTCGTGTGACGGTTTGCGGGGGGCGCGGGCTGATAAGGTCTGCGCGGTTCAGTTGCTTGGCTTTTCTGATTGCATCGTCGATTATTCGGGGTGGATACTTTTGTTTGTTAAGCACTGACTTTAAATTTTTGCTGGTTGCATCAAAATCTGTCTCTTTTGAACAAATTCGTTTGAAACGATGAGCTTGGCTATAGGGAATGCTGTTCTTGCAATGGTGTGGGTGGTCGCTTTGATAATGCAGGTATTGCTGTCGATCTGTTGGCTTACGGTACAGGCTCGTGGCGAGTTTACCTTCGTCTATTTTAACCTTGACGTCTAGGAAGTTTATTTCGGTAGAGACAGCACTTTAGTTTGCGGGGGTAACTTTCATCTATTGTACGCTATCGTCCAGGTCACCCCTGTTCGCCCGGACGCAAAGTGACCCTGCCGCCCCCTCTCAAGAAGCTACAACCGTCACCCCGCCGTCCTCGAAACTTGGCCCCGACCGTCAAGCTTCTTCACCCGGATAAAAACTGCCCTACGCTTCTCTCTCACGAAAGCTACAACCGTCACCCCCGCCGAAATTTGGACTCGACCGTAGCACTGTATAAATACCACCCGCGTTCATCTGTAAAAGTTCTTCCTGACGAAGGCCGGACTCCGGCCGAAACGTCGAAGATTAAATCGTCCGTTGTTGCTGTTTTCAGTAAGGGTTTTTTCTTCTCAGTTATATACCCACGCCTTCGGCCTTCCGCCACCATGCCCGTTGTATATATATATATATATATATATATATATATATATATATATATATATATATATATCAGGGTGTCGAACCGGAACCGAGCCGGTATTTTTTCCGGAACTGAACCCGAACCCGAACCGTTATATTGTTATCGCGATGAACCCGAACCGGAACTGAACCGGAAAAAAAAATAACGGTTACCGGCTCATGTCAAAACGGTTCGGCCACGCACTGTTGACAATGAATGTGCTATCAATGCCATTTGTTTTTTAAGTGCCGTCAACTGACACACACCTCGCTTACATATTTTTCTTCTCCACTCAGCCTTAGGAATATAAACGCTGCATCCGTGAGTCTTGACAAACGCTGCATCCATGAATCTTGACATAGAAACCAGTATTACGCTGGTCGCGGCTTGCACGGAAGAAAAAGAAATAAAAGGCTGTGCAAAAAAAAATAAAAAAATCGCGTTACGGGATTTAATTTTCCTACAATCTCGTAAATCCTAAATTCTGCTGTGTGCTCATTTCATAACACGTTTCTAGAACGCGCGAGTTCTTGAAGCTTGCTTCCATCGGAATGAGAAAAGAAAAGGCTGTGGAGTTTGATAATAATGCATCCGGTTTCGTATAGGCACTTAGAAGCTAACATATTTGTGAGACAGCGAACTCTTCTATTTTAATATTTATCCTATTACGTCCTTCTGGCGTTGCGTTCGGTGAAGTGTTTTTCATATTCCGTATCTTGTTTAATGAAAACTTCTTTAAGGGTCTACTTTGAGTTACCGAAGGCTTGTTCAAATAAAGAAAGCTGTATTTTCTCCCCACTGTTCCTTCAATTGCTTACACGCCGAGGTGGCGGGATAGTTAGCGAGTTCTACTTGTAAGGGGGTTTGTAAGGAGGTCGCGGATTTTACAGCTACTGCATCGGACCCAATTAGATGAAGTCCGAATGCGTAAACGTCGGTGAGGTAACCTTTGAGTGCACATAAAGAAACCATTCCTGGTAGAAATCCCTGAGCCTTACACTACGACGTATCCCGTTTCGTATGTGCTGATTTCAGATGTTTTATTTGTAATTTATTTTGATGTTGCAATTTGTCATTTATAATTTCCGAACCGGTTCGCGAACCGGTTCGCGGATCGAATTAGTCGAACCGGAACTGAACCGGAACAAAATAAATTTACCTGAACCTGAGCCGTAACCGAACCCGTATTCCTTTCGGTTGGACACACTGATATATATATATATATTTATTATATATATAGGAGTTTATGAGCCATATACCATGGCCACATTTACATTGTTTTTGCTCGCATATATCCGATTCCAGATAAACACTTTTTGGATACGATGAATTCCCACCTATACTCCGAATTTCAGCCGAAATTGGCTTAGTTTTGGTTTCAGAATTTGTCGCTTTTAGAAATAAAGACCCTTAGTATAACCTTTACTGAACTGGATTTTTCCGTTGTTTTTTATCGCTCGTATTTCAAATAATTTCAGAACCTCGGTTTGCGCATGACATGCCAAGCCGCAAATGGTTTGCAGCCCAGTAGTAGTTTACTGCTGCCTCCGGAGCTTTTGTACCCGGTACATATTCACTGCCACGTCACCAGAGCCTGGGTGAAACTCTCCACGGTCTCATGTGAACAGGGCTTTTATCCTTGCACTCTTCCGCAACGTTTTTACGAGGACCATTCATTTTTTACGAATACTATCTGTCCAAGCTTCTCTGGGGAAACTTGGAGACTGGTATCAATTAAATGTGGTTCTTGCTCTCTGTCAGGAACCGGGAGCCAAATTGGCTATACTTGGTTTCACCTTCATTCCAGACAGAGCCAAAGCTACAAGCTGATGGGGCCAATCACGCAGCTTTAAAAGGCACCATACACGGTGTTCATAATATTTTTGTACATGTTCTTTCATCGCTGAACAAATCATAGACAGAAAAGGCCTAGCGACGAGCACTTTTCACGCTACTTCATTGGTATAATTTCTTCGTAGCGTTGGCTACGTCTAAAATTAAGTTGAAGAAAAGTAAAGAACGACTGTTCCTTTCTTCTGCAAGGTACGTGCCCTCTTGTGGTACCAAGGCAGTACGCTACACGGCCATAGCACCTTCATAGCTTACTTGATTTCTTCGGTTTTTGCACCGGTTGTTCAACTACGTTTCACCTCGTGTTCGAGCACAATAAAAGCTTACAGCTTATATGCGCTTGCGAATACCGGTTCGAATGAAATAGCACAGCATCATTCATAACTGCACAGTGAAAGGGAAAGTCCCGACAATCTGTTCCTTTAACAGTGTTATAGCTAGGGACGATACTGCGTTCTTCGGTTCAAGGAGGTATTCGCACAACTTGGAGTTAGGGTTAGAGTTGTGCGAATACCAATTTGATTCGGGTAGCACAGTGCCATCTCACGTTTTAACACCACTATAGTATAACAAGGCCACGTGCAGTGGTTCTTCTTTTTAATTTGAAGGTTATGAATGACTCAGAACTATTCGACTCGAACCGGTATTTGCATCTCCCTGCTTAGAATGCAAAAAAGCGCTATCACACAGACTAAAAGTGTAAAGTTTCAACGCACTCCATGAGCTTGATTCAATGAGCCGTCCGATGCACAGAAACACGGCGACCGCCGTGACGTTGAGATTTCGGTCCTTCTCAACCGGTCTTTTGGCACTTTCAATCGGCTTTTAAGGTAAAATAAAGTAAAAACAAGCGTGAGCCTCTTGACCAACTAACAACCTGTGCAGCTCTGGGCGAGCTGTAACTTTTAAGATGTGTGCTTCTTAGCATTGCTGTTTCCTCGCGTCAGCTTTGGCACCGCTGATAAGATTACTTTGGAAGGACAGAATGCATGCAGGCGAACTGGTTGGGAACCATTGTATTTTTTTGGGGTTTAGATTGGATGATTACTTCTTTTGTTACAATATCTAGAATCTGCCGCTCTAAATTATTTTCTTGCTTCTAAATAAACATTCAAATCCTCTGCAATAAACGGATTTTCTTCCCAACAGAAGCAGCTTATCGTCTTTCCTTGAAAATTTATCATATTGTTCAGCCGTCAAAAATGTAACTATTAATGTTAAACTTTTGCCGGCATTCTGCTTCGTTAATTCAAAGTTAAGATTTGGCCGTCTCCTAAATATTTGGCGTCATCCGCATTGCTAGATGACAAGAGCGACGATATATGTGTATTGCCGATGGTGCAAGAACAGATATCATAAGTTTCATAGAATTCCTGAACGGCAACTCAGTGCTTTCGTCTAGAGTGATAATAAAACCACGCTTGTCGCTTACTTCTCTCTCCCACCTCGAAGCGTTGTTTGATGAGCGAGGCATAGATAGAAAGCTTTCGTTTCAACTCAGCGCCTCAAACGTACACAATATATTTTCTGAGTCTGACAGGATTCTTGACATCGGTGTTACGATGCGGATTGTGTATCTCATTGTGTACTTGTCTGCTAACATTTTTGCTGAATTGACTTCGACAAACAGCGAAGGTTACACCACGCAGCACTTGAGCCAGCATGAAGTTTCAAACATGAATCAAGAATACCCGTCGCAACATGTGTATCATCACCCTGCATTGAGGTCATCTCTCCGGGATGAAGAACAAGCACAAGTTAGAAAACGACGCAGTTCCGAAATACTCAAACGTAAGACATTTTCAATCGTTTTAATATAGTACTGCGTTAGACAAAGATTCTTGGCTGTTCGAAAAAAGCACAATTTTTTTTTCGTGTTGGGATAAAATATATTGCGGAGGTACCTGATGGCCGTGGAATTTGGTTCAAAATTTCACTGAACAAATTTATCTGTGTAAAATTTTCGAAAAACGCATTGAAGGTCGAGTTCTTGCTATTTTGTTTTATCCTAAAAAGGTTTTCCAGTTGTTGTTTTTATTTTTTGTTTCCAATGTAATAGTATAAAGAGAGCGTCAATGCGTAGATGCCTTCTTAAAGATCTAGCGTGAGCAGGTCTAGTGCTCACAAGCAGTTCAGGTTTAGAGGAAACAAATGAAAATAGTAAAGCGAAAATTTGTCAGATTCTTTTTTTCTATTCAATTTTATGTTGACGCGTACGTCCGCTTACCTGACATTCCTGTGGTTTGGGGGGGGGGGGCGTTGAAAGCCCCGCGCCCCCCACTATATGAGTAGGGCCAACACTGCCCAGCGGCCGGACGCCGCTGGGGAGCCGACAGGTAATAAACAGTTTTGCTGTTGAACTGGAGTTCGGGTGTCGTACCTCCCAACGGGCAGCAGCAAGGTCAAACCGCTGCAGGTTTCAAGTTTTGAATTTAAGGTACCTTAGAGAGAATCTCAATCGAATGGGGCTGCCATCCTCTGAATTAAATTCTCAGAAGCGTTCGAGGTATTGCGGCAGCGCTATCGTATAAACACTAGCTAGTGAGACTGGTCTATTGCCACTACCAGAAGAACAGCCGACATGCGAAGGGATCATATCGAGCGTACCAGCGTACCACATGCGAGGAGCAGCTAAATTTAAAACTGTAAATGACCCAAGCCAAGCGAAACACCGCGCGAGTATAATATTTATATTTCGCCAAAGAAATAACAAGTAGCATTTAACCTCCAGCGGTGTGAGCAGTTTCGCGTTAAGATGAGCACTTTCCACTCTGTTATCGCCGCCGTACATGAACGACGAGAGCCGTCAATGGGTTTCAGCTGGTATTTTTCTCTAGTTATAAAAAAATATATAGCATTCGAACTTCATAGTTGTCCTTCACATGATGAATTACGACATGGGCAAGCAGACTTCCCGAAAATATGCTGGAATGTTTTAAAAAGGATATTCCTACGCGATCGCTTCTTTAGGGTTGGGCAGTTTATATTGGTATTAACACCTGACAATCATATCCAAGGTGTTTCACGAGCATCGGAAAACTGTACATCCTAGTGAATATGTCAAAAAAGTTCGTGCGTTCATATGCCCTGATACAAAAGGTAATAGCAGTATTGTATGTTTTACTAATTGTGACGGCCCTGTTACTGCCTTTAACAAACGTTTTCTAATGATGGAAACATTAAGAAATTACCACTTTACTGAAGCTGTTAAAACCAGGATTTGATATACACAGCACCTTTCTCAAAGGCTTAACAGTTGCCAGAATCGTAGCTTTCAGAACCTAATATATTCATGCATCAATAAATCGTGAATTTCTGAATGTACACATAATTTAATATCTCATTACTAGCGTAGAACAAATTTAAAATTACTATAAAATATATTTACATAACTGTCCCTATCTTCGACATTCTCTTTTGTCAGGTGTCTACATACTCGTAGGCAGACATACGCTCTTAAGCTAATATGTAAAAATAAAACCTGTGATAGAACAAGGCATTTTACTTTCAACGTGTACAGCTTCCTTATAACAATATCGCGTGAACCCTGACCGGCCAGTAGATCAGCCTCTTATCGCGGCGTGAAAGAGCAGGCCAGCGAAACTGCGTGCCTGTGGCAGAAGTCACACGCCTAGCCTCGCTGATCTGCAGTTTCACGCAGCGCGATATTCAAAAATCCTGAGGCTGTACCTCATCAGGAAACAACAAAACATATTCAAAATAAATTCTACTATAAAACCAGATTAACAATTGCTTTCTTACAGGACAGGATGTGAACGGCAACTCGGTTCTCAGCTGTCCCGAAGGCTTTTATTACGATGTAGCTGAGCAGAAGTGCATAGGTACGCATTGCATTGGTTTTCGTAGTGATTTTATTTTGGGGTTATTAAGTAGTGTACAGCCTGTCTTTTAGCTGAAAAGGTAGACGTCTGTATTATTGTAAAATGTTTGTATTTGGTTGACCAGTTCTAGTGTTATTTTAATATGTGAGAATATAATCTTCTAATTAAGACCTACACAATATAAACTGAGGATTGGCTAACAATAGTCGCCGCGAAACCATTTGTTTACACTGACTCCGTAAGTGTGACGTCATGGGTCCAAACAAACCGTTGCTAGGGTCGTTGTTATGGATAAATACATGTTTCTAGGTTTCGCTACGAAAACCCGGCCGTTCAAAAATCAGGAGTAGGATTCAAACTTCTAAAAATCACAGATATAGAAAAGCTTGAATATCATATATGCTTCGACAGAAGTGTGCCAGAAATCACTTGTTTCTGAAATAATTTCGACTGCAACTTCCGGTCCTCAAGTTGCCTGCAGCAGACGACGAATGCAAGAAGTATGCCGTCTGCCACACGCCGGCAGGCCAAGCCGACGCCGTCGTTTGAATCGTGTGAATAAGGACGATATTCTGCTGTTGCATTTGTTCTAAATATAATGATTTTCAGTAACTTAAACGAATTTAGAGTCGGGTGCGATGAAAATGTTGTTTATTGAAAGTCCGGGCGTCGATCGAGATGATCGTCTGCTAAAAGATCGCATTGGACCCGTGAGAAAAGCACTTGAGGCGATCGGTCGAGATCCCAAATTTTGTTTGTAGACTCGCGCTATATGAGGGTGCGTCGTGCCTGGTTGTAACCGTCGCTGCAATGGTTACTGAGAAATTGCGACAGACATGGAATTCTTTAATAACCTGACAACCTCAATAATAATAATAATTATAATGAACTAATTGCCTTGGTGGCGTACGATTTGTTTCTCATACTGGCCTGCAGTACGCCGGTAATGCACTTCAGTTCGTCGTCGTAAATGATCTGCATGACGTGGCTTGATTTTACGGCACTTTCACCCCTCTGAACTAAACTAAATTCTTCACAGAAAAAAAAAAAACGCTCATTTCGGAGGCCTTACGGCCACGGAAATGCACTTGTTTTTGTCGCTTGTTTACCGACGCAATTCAATGAAGACGCCCGGTGCAACAGAGGCCAGCAAGTCTATCGTGTCGTCTGCTACCAAAGCAAAGCTGAGTGTAATACTTGAGAAATTGCTTTCATTGTTGCAATACGACACTGAGACGACAAGAACATCTTCATAATTAGATATCAAGAAGTTAGGTTGCTTACAAAAAAGATTTACTTCTAAGCAAAATTCTAGTCTCATGTGGAGTCTGCATGCATTAGTCCATAGCAACGCCCCTAGCAACGATTTGTTTGGACCCAGACGCAATGTTGTGACATCATCGCTTACGGGGTCAATTGCCTAACTATTACTTTTCCGGTCTGAACCTTCACTAAAAAGTTGGATTAAGATGTTGCTAAACAAACACTTCTTGTTATTGATTTATTCCACATACATTAAACGACTGGAACCACCTTCCATCAGATATCGCAACTATACCCGATTATTTTTTTCGCCAATCTTTGTTTACATTTTTGTTTGATGAGCTGACATGTGTCATTTTCTTTTGTTTATTTTGATCGTAACAGATGTTGCTTACAGCTTTTGCCAATCGCAGCGCATTTTCGATATCTGAATTTCTTGCCGCATGTGCTTTGTTTTGTCCATTTGTTTTATTTTTGTTTGATATGCCCCTCCCCTCTACAATGCTTCGGCGCTTGAAGGTATGTGCAATAAATACAATAAATACTGTCGTGGCAAAATCATGAACTTCGGAAAAAAATAAACGAAGTTTTTCAACCACTTTCAACTGCACGAATATTATTTGTGGACCGTAGAAAGCTAAGTGACTTAATGAAGAATTGCAAAAACAGACCAAAAGAACATTGGGAACAAAACGAAATAATCCGTCCATAGTTAAAATACAAAATGCAATTACGTAAATTATTTAGATCTTTTTTATCAAATCGTTCTTGTCAACCAAAACAAAGCTGCAATATACAGTTGTTCATTAACTTACAATAAAGTACATATTAAAAAAGAAACTTTTATAGTTTAGTATTGTACACTGTTGTGTTAGTTGGTTCATTTTAGTTAAACATATAAAATAGCGCAGAAAAGAAAAGGACAAGAAGTATACAGGACAAGCGCTTACTTCCAACTGGTCTTACCCAGGAAAAGCAAGCTTATAAACACACGGCAGGCGAAGCAGCGTCACATAACAGTTGATTAATTTAGTATGATCATTCAAAAACTGAAATTCATTTCTTTAAAGAACAAATAGATTGTCACTAACACGTGCCGTCCCACTTTTTTGCTATATACATAAAGAATGCTCTCAATAGCTTACGAGTGATCTTCTCTTGGCTTCTACCCAGAATTCTTATCCGCTGAAGTGGCGAAACACAGTCACACATGTTGCAATGTATAGGCAAATGCGAGCCATATTTATTTTTTAGTGACAATGCGTGCTCCCGTGCTCAGTCATTGATGCACCGCCCTGTTCGGCCCAATGTATTCCTTACCACAACTCAGTGGGATTTTGCAGACCACACCTACTGTGCAGTCCACGTAAGGGGTGACGTGTTTCTTATCACATTGCATTTTCGCCTTCTCATCAGAAATGAGGGAGCACGACGCAGCCAACTGCTTTGGGACAACGTAAAGTTGCAAGAAAGTTCAATGTTCCCGTTGTGTTTTCTGCCCCAAAGAAGTTGGCTGGGTTGCGCTCCCGCATTTCTGAGGAGAAGGCGAAAATTCTATATGATAAGAGACACGTCAATCCTTACGTAGACTGCACAGTGGGTGTAGTCTACGAAATCTCACAGAGTTGCGGTAAGGTATACATCGGCTAGACGGGGCGGTGCATCAATGACCACGCACGGGAGCACGCATTATCGGTAAAAAAAAATTAATATGGCTCGCATTTGCCTTTATGCTGCAACACGTGTAACTGTGTTCGGCGATTCCAGCAGATAAGGAGTTTGGGGAGAAGCCGAGAGACGATCGCTCGTAAGCTACAAAAAGCATTCTTTATAAAACAAAACAAACAAACAAAACAAAAAATGTGGATCGGCAGGTGTCAGCGACACTCCTATTATACTTCATAGTAATGCATTCCAGTTTTTGAATGATCGGGTACAAAATTAATCAACTTTTATGTGGTGCTGCTTTTCCTGTCGTGTGTATATGTGCTTGCTTTTCCTGAGTAAAATGAGCTAAAAGTTGTCGCTTGTCCTGTATACTTCTTGTGCTTGTCTTTTTTTGCGCTATTTTTGATGTTTAACTGAAACTTTCATATATCGTGCAGTTTCACACCGTGCCAGAAAGTGTGTCGAGTGCATGAATATCTGGCTGCTGCTGAATAATTTTTTGAATACGATTTTAGTACGTGAATAACAAGGTGCACAATATGTTAAAAAGTTTTCTCTATCAACCTTAAATTGAAATCTCACTATTCTAGATGTCGCCATTCTTTGATGTTAGAAATTTAAGGGTGATCTAAAACCTATGCCTATTTCGTTTGTCTCTTTTCATATCACGAAGCACGCACTGGATCGACTTTTAAATGTTATTTCATATCATGCTATAGCGAGCGTTAGATTTTTATTCAAGCAATTCTATTTTGAAATCATCTATGAGAGCTACATTAATGCGGGCATTTGCGCAGGAGACTTCTACGGCCAGAAGCTATAATGTTCAAAATAAGTGGAATTATCAACGAAACGTTTGCAATTTAATTTTAAATATTTAATATAATCATTGGGCTATATAATATGGACGTGCTGAAGGTCATCGAAAGTCACCATCTAGTGTGTTTTATATTATCGAATACATATTTAAAAAAAGAAAAGCATTGGAAGCTACACAAATGCGGTTTGCGCGTGTGAGGTATACTGCCAGGCGTGCATTATATTCAAGAGAAAATGCAACTAAAATAAGACTAATTAATGAACATTCATTATTTAATTTTTAGTTAGATATTTCAGGGCAGACATTTTCATTAAAGAAAGAAAGGCAATCAATGTTGAACGCCAGTTAAATTTTAAAAATCATGAATCGGTTCCGCAGTTTGGATATACCACATTGGAATATGACATGCCGTTTAGTAGAAGGTCGGAACCACTGCACAATGGCGGATCAGCTGACATCGTAAAAACGTGCTACTCTTTTCATATGATAGGGAATGTCAGAGCGCGCGGCCAACGCTAGGTGCCGACGAGCCAATCAAACAAAGTCGAAAGTGCAATGCCACTGCGCTCATCACCTTTTTGTGGGTCTGTTTTTGCTTTCGAATCCAACCAAACGCCTAAAGTGTGCCGTGGCGTTATGGGTTTAGGCCGCCATTGTACAGTGAATCCAGAGATGCCACCAGAGGGCAGTTTTTCGAAAGGGGTTTATTATTCATTATGAAATTGCGTTCGGCAAATCTGTAAATACCGAAACCGTGCGCGCGATATCCCACCAGAAAGACAGCCCTCGTGTGACACCTAAGAGTGACATGTTTTTCAGTGATATCGCGCGGCAAAGCAAGGTAACATATCGCTGCCGATAAGGTGGCTTAAAGGTCAACTCCGGTCAAAAACGAAACCAAAATAAATTATGGGTATCGCTTTAGCGTCACGAAAAATGATCTCGGCCGAAATATTAGGTCAAAGTGAAGCCGCGTACTCTACTAAAACCAATTTGAAAGATGCGACCAACTGCTCTTTAGCGGGCTGCAAGAGGATAAGCTTTTAATCAAGGAACACTGGCCCAGCACCCTCGTGACGTCATAACGCGGTAGACCTCCGGTTGATTGTGTGGGCTCTTTGATGTCGTCGCCGCCACCCGTGACACCGGCCAGACAGTTGTTAATTTCACAGAAGCGGGTTTATTACCATCGTCATAGATGGTCGCCTTGTTCTGCGTGTCTTCCTGGTCGTCGTCTCAGACCGTTCTG